AAAAGTTTTTTACAAAGTCCTTCAGTTCCCAGATGTTTGCTAAATATTATATACGACACAACCTGACAGAAAATATTTTTAAAAAGAAAGATCTTTTGACCTGACCCCTGTATTTATGGGCTTAAAAACTGAAGAGGTTTAAGATAAGGGTTTTTTTAAAAAATGATTGGCTTTTCTTCTTGTTCACTGCTTCGAAAATAAAGTGGCAATTCATGGCCGTGATGGGTAATTCCATAGTGGGCCTTCCCAAGAATTGGGAAAAAGGAGCCCTTCATAGTTGGTATTCATGTGTTCCTGCAGGGCAAAGCGCATGACCTCATGACTGGCAGCTGCTAATGGGAAACACCAGACCCTTCGCCTCCTGCCCCTCTAGCAGATGCCCCCGGGGTGTTGCCAGGACAGGGAAAACCTTCCCAAGCACCTGGCCTCCTGAACCCCATCCTGCTAACACCTCACTGTACCTAGGAAGAGGTCAAGATGTGTTATTGTAGCAAATATTATTTTCATGCCTCTTAGGAGCAGCTGAAGGAAACTGAAGAAAGGTGATTCTATAGCAGGCAAAATAAGGGAGAGGTGAAACGCTGTGACAGGCAGGCACTCCGTGTGGGGTGCACAACAGGGGTCTCCGGGAGCCATCTCTACAAGTGAACTTTGTAAAGCAGAAACTTTAAATTAAAGGTTGTAGGCGGCAGGACTTCAAACACTTACTTTGCTTTCATTAACGTAAACTTCAGAAAGGACAAGAAGGGAGGGTACTTATTTTCTCCTTCAGAGAGGAGCACTATATCCTCATGAAAGAACAAATGTTGACTTCCTAGAATTCTATAGGTTGTGATCTGGAGATAGTCAGGGTAGGAAGAGGTCAAAAGGGCAATAGCCCTGGGATTTCTCTTTAAATGCTTTCCTAGTCTCTTATTCTGGGGAAGTTTCACTCTCTGAGACTATGGGAGAGTACTTTGCAGAAAATGGAAGGAAAAAATGAGTTGACTTTGGTGTAAAATATTGAAATCCATGAGCAGTTATTTGATAATACGCATCATCCATGAACTTGTTGAAGATCCCTCTATGCATAGATTTCAACATTTTTTGGTACTGAAACAAATTTTTCATTCCATTTTTTTCACGAACTTTTCAGAGTAGCCTTATACTACAATTCTTTTCCCCAACTCATCAAGAAAGCCTCTCCTAGGGTGGACATTTGGCCCAGTGGTCAGAGTGCCTGGTTTGATCCCTGGCTCCACTTCTGATTCTAGTTTCCGGCTAATGCACACCCTGGGAGGCAGCAAGTGATGACAAGTACTCAGGTCCCTAAAACACAGATGAGAGATCTGGATTGAGTTTTTGGCTCCTGGCTTCAGCCTGGCCCAGTCCCAGCTGTTGCAGGCATTTGGGGATTGAACTAATGGATAAATCTCTCTGTATGTCTGTCTCTCTTTTTTTCAAATAAAATAAAATAAAAGCCTCTCCATTCAACTTTCATCCTATATTGTTAGGCAGAGACTACCATATTGAGTTGCCTATAATTACTCCTAAAGAATCTGCTAAGGCTCTTTCCATTGTCCCTTGAGTTAAGCACCCACTTCTTGGCCATTGATTTGTTCTAGAAATGACCTTTTCCTAAATCTTCACCATCATCATTATCACATTGACCACTTTCAGGCATTATTTCCTACATAAATTGTTTCATTTACTCCTCACAACAGCCCTGGGAGGCCAGCAATGCTATCCCTGTTGGAGCTGAGCCTCCAAGAAGTTAGTAACTTGCTTAAGATCATAAGGAACCAATGGAATATTCAAACTTAAGACCACTGCTTTAGCACTCTAAAGGCATGGACCCCAGTGGTCCCACTCCTCAAACTCAAATGGGGTCAAGGGTGGCCATTAGGCTACTCCGAGGAGCATAGTAGAACCTAGTTTCCTTCCTACTATAGAACAAGAAACCAAGGAAGTTGGAAAATCATAAGTATCCCAAACTGAAAGATATTTCAATGGGGCTTCTTACCTGGTTTCCTTCCCACTATAGAAAAAGACTCCAAAGAAGGTGGAAAATCACAAATCCTCCAAGCTAAAAGATACCTTAGGGGCTGGCGCTATGGCGCACCAGGTTAATCCTCCGCCTGTGGCGCCAGCATCCCACATGGGCGCCGGTTCGAGTCCTGGTTACTCCTCTTCCAGTCCAGCTCTCTGCTGTGGCCTGAGAAAGCAGTAGAAAATGGCCCAAGTGCTTGGCCCCTGCACCCACATGGGAGACCAGGAAGAGGCACCTGGCTCCTGGCTTCGGATTGGCGCAGCTCCGGCCGTTGCGGCCATTTGGGGAGTGAACCAACGGAAGGAAGACCTTTCTCTCTCTATCTCTCTCTCACTGTCTGTAACTCTACCTGTCAAATGAATAAATAAAATCTTAAAAAAACTAAAATAAAAAAAATACCTTAGCAGGACTTCTCAAATGAATCATCTGGGAATCCTACTCAAATGCAGATTCTGATTCCAGTGGATCTGGAGGGCCTGAGTCTCTGCATTTAAAACTAGCTACCAATATTGCCATGCTACACGCGTTGGGCAGAATGACCCTTGATGATATCTATCCCTTCCTGTCCAGAACATGATTATTCTGTACAGACTACCTAAAGACTGGAAAACTTGGGAGAAGGAAGGAAGACTGTTGACCCAGAAGCACCTAGAAATGCAGGCCTGTGTCTGAAAGTGGACATATTCCCACACCAGCAGTCTAATCTGTTCAAAGTTTGGTAGTATGAGTTTACTATGAATGAGAGCTACCTATTTACATTCCAGTTTACATCCAGGCAGTATCAAAATAGGGCTATAAATAGCCCCCAAAATGCATTTGGTAATGGAAAAACACACTGATCCTTAACTTGTGTTGTGACACATGAAGCTTTAATTATTTACCACTTCTTAATGCCTGATTCATAATTAATACCAGAATGCACTTCTCTCCCTAGCTGCTCCTTGATTGCTACCACAGCAATGGGATTAGCATATCAAGATCAAATTCATCTTTTCTTAGGAAACCCATGAATATGTATCCAGCACATTGAAGAAGAAGTTTAGAATGCAATTTGCCAAAGCATTAAGGAACTAATAGGAAAGGAAATTGATAATGGTCACCTTCTTAATTTGAATTAATTTCATTAAATTTAAATTAAAAATTGATATAGCCAGAAAGTATAAATGGGTCCTTCCCACACTGACAAAATAGCAAAATTGTCTGCAGGTTTTAAAAATCTCCCTTGTGAAATGATTAGGAGTAATTCCAGTTTTGTCCATAATAGCATAATTTGTTAAAGCATACAGATTGTTCCTGACATTTTACCTTCTGAAAATCCAAAACAGCAATAGCTCTCTTCAAACCTTCCTTCCTCAGGATGGAGATTGCTGGCCCCATGACCCAGCCAATACAAACACCCTTTGTCCTGGAATCCTGGCCTATGGGTAAACTCTTTTCACCCTCAGAACTAAACGAAGGATGAAACAGATATTTTAAAGTACATCCAAGGCATTCTTGCTGTGATCTTCTCTCTGAGAAACGTGGAGGTTTTCCTCTATAACAAGCAAAGGATTTAGAAAAACACACAACATTAATTTAGGCTTCTAGTTTGAAGCATGAAGACAAATTTGCATTTTAAAGGTTTGGGTGTGTCTTGCCTACCCTTTTACTGCTCCAGTTCAAAGTCAGATGGTAGAATTCTGAATCTTCCCAGTCTTCATCTCAGCAGCAATTACACACAGAGCCCCAAGGAAAACGGGCTGGCCCTTCTCCCACCATCTGCCCACATCTGCTCTGGCCACACAAGTGCCTAAACTCCTCACCTCCCCATGCCATTGCCCATGATGGCACCATGGCCTAGACTATCTTCTTGTTTCCATTCCCTTTCCTCTTCTTTTCCTGACAACCCTCTCTTTAAGACCCAATTCAGACTTCTCTTGTGCCTGTGAAACTCCGTGCCCCAGCTGCCCACGCTACCCAGCAGCCAAGTCAGTTGCTCTGCACCCTCCCAGCATTTGGGGCATGTTTTCATCGTCTTTGAACTACAAGTATTTCCTGCCATCCCCACAAAGGGCTGAGTTCCTCAAGGAGAACTGCCTGCATTTCCTGGCAACTAGAAATCACTTCAGGAATGCAGGATTAAATCAGATAAATGAAAGCACCATTCACTGAATGATCAAATGGTTAACTTAATACTTTTGGTCATTCTCTTGGACCAAATCAGATCAATACTAGTCATCTAGTCCATTGCTCCCCAATTAACAGTTATGTTTACACTGTGAACCCCAGAACACGGGCTACACTGATAGACCCAATGCCTAGCATGTGCCTTGCACAGCCGAAATGTTTGATAAACATTTTTAAATGGTGCACGGGCCAATACCTTGAAACCTCCAAGATGGTCAGCACTGCCGATCACAGAGCTAAGTCCAACCACATTTCCACGCAGGCCCCCAGGACCTCCCTCCATGGCTCACAGCCTGGGCCTCTGAGGTTCTTCTTCTCATGCCTTTTAACCAAACACCATCTGAAGACAGACGGAGCCTGCAATCACACCACTGCGAATTTCCTCTCCTTTTGTTTCACTTCAGATCATTTCATTTTAAACAAAGATTTCTGAAGCCAAACTGCTAACCAGAGCTGCCAACCAAACAGGTTCCCAGCAAATCCTAGAGAAAGCATTGAAAAACACCAGAGTAGACAGGCAGCCAAATGGGAGCCACATTCTAGTTTTTGGTTTTTCTTGGTTTTGTTTTTTGAATTAATGATAATATACACAGTGCATTTCAAGCTGTCACTTACCACCAGGCTATCCCCCACTCTGGGGCTGGATGCACAGTGAGTTGATGACTCCCAGGGAGGCTTCACTCTGACCGACATCCCTAACAAAGACACTGGGACTATACCTTCCGTCCCTACTACTTACAGTTTCGGTTCCATCTTTAGAACAGATGTCATCTTACCCCCAGTCATAGAAAGCTGTGAAGCTTACTCTGTCTCGGCCAGCCAGCCTTGGGAAGTTGCTCTGCCATCCTTGCCCCGGGGATCCTAGCTGCTCAGTAGCTGAAAGACTTCTTGTGGCAGCTCCATGTGTCTGGGGAACAGGAAGGCATAACATACTGTGTTCAGCCCAGCAGCAAACACTCATGCCAAGGGCATTCATGTATGCCATTATCTGGGGTGCCAGAATTGGGGCATCCATCTGTAAGACATTTAGAGGCCCTTCCCTACCACGGCCACATCAAAGGACCATGACCCCAGCAGAGCCTCAAGACCAGATGAAAGGCGTAATGCCCTGTGGAATCTTCCACAGCCAGTCCACCATCGACAACCTTAGTGGCAGAGTTGGTTCCCACCCCTGCTCTGGGTCCTCCTGGCACTCTCAAGTTCTCATTGTGACTACAACATTTATTCAGGGGCCTCAGAACAGGCTGAAGAGTGATCCATGGAAAGCCTGATCCCAAGAAACATCTACACACTTCCCACCATCAGGAAGTTCAGGTGGTGGGGCCCCAAATGCTTTGTCAAGTTTCATCCTTGGTGAACCCACCTGGCAGTCTGCCCATCCCATGCCTTATTTGTTTTAACTTAGCTTGCACAAAAAAAAAAAATAGAAAATAAAAGAAGTATGGGGATGGAGAAGATTTTCCTATCCTTAAGATTACCTATAGAAGAATACAGAGCCAGGCATTCATTGACGTAATTGTGCAAGGGAGACAGCACCACGGCCTCCTAAGCTCCTGCTCCCTGCTGCAGAAAGGAAACTAAGGGTCAGTGTATCCACTCAGTGTGTCAATCATCAAACATTGCTTTAAGCTTATTATAGACCAGCACTGTGTGGGACACAGAGGCAGGGAGCAAAGAAGGAACACGGAGTGCAGTCTATCGTCACATTAAATTCTAATACATGCTGTAGGTACAGTAGGAGACCAGGGGAGGGAGAGAACTCATTGAGGGAAAAACCTTCATGAAGCAGATGGGATTTAATGAGTCTTGAAGAATGAATAAAATTTAGGTAAATGGGTGCTGATGGGAGAGCGAAGGGTGTTCCAAGAGGGCTGAACAGCAGGCACAGAGGTGGGAACGAGTCCAGCATGTACGAGGAACAGACTTACAGGCTTTGTCTTCCACTCTCCTCTCCCTTTGTGCATTTCGTCAGTGCAAGGCAGGCAGCCCGAGTGTGTCCCACCTTCCTGAAATTTCAATGAAAAAAATTAGTCAAAACAAGAGCCCCAGAAAACAACCAAGTCATCCCGGTGGGCTGAGTGCATAAGGCTCTCACAGATGTAGATGGATAAGCCTGGGCCACTTGTGAGCAAGCGTCTTGATTCTGCGTTGGGAAGGGGCAGGAGCAGCACCAGCAGTGCATGCGGGGGGACCCGCGTCCCCTTCACATTTTCTCATTCAATACGGCCAGGTGGCAAGGTGCCAGCCCATTTGCTGCCCGTCGAGGAGGATATTTATGGGAACCCGTTTTTATTTTCTTCCCTAGCAGGTTTGAGGAGATCGATGAAGGTTGAGAATTCCCCCTAAAAGCTGGAGCCTAGAGCCTTCCTGGGAATATTGCATTCACACTAATTCAGCAGGGGTCGCCAGAGCTGTTAAGGATGCTGAACCTTCCGACTTCATGTTGGAGAAAAATGAAAAGAAATCCAAGCCGTAAAAATGAGCACCCAAAAATGAATTCTCTCGCACAATCCATTTCTCCTGGTTGAACATTATCAGCCTTCGGACCTTGGCTGCAACCGAGTAGCTTCACCGTCAATCCACAAAATACAATTATCCGCTGTCTGGTTTTCTGATAGCAATTCTTTTGTAGGTGAAAAATGCAACTCTTGAGTCCACTATTGAGAAACCTTGATGCTAGAAAACTGAGAAGCCTACAACAGGCAGCTCATCAGATGTCAAACCTACTTTCCCAGTGCCTGGGGAGTGAATTGAGAAATTTGCACTTTGGGGTGAACCTTGGGAGATGAAACATTCAAATAATCATCATTACCAACACTGAAACAAGAAATCTGTGTCCTATCTCTGGCAGCACTGCTAAAGTGTTCCTGAGTTGCTTTGTGGGCATGGGCTGACAGCTGAAATCGGGAGTCTCAGATTTGCGGGCTGCGTCTTGCTCAGATAATACCAAAGTCCATTCATTGTCTCTCAGCCTTGGTCTAAGGGTTTGTAACTCCCACCAACAAGGCTGGGAATATTGGACCCCATTCTGTCGTGAGCCAGAAAGGAAGAAATACTCTCCTGGGGAGCCAAGTGCTCGCTTGTGTGAAGTAAATTTTCTCTTCTACCACGCAAAATGGTCGGGATCCTACCACTTGGGTCCCAAAAACACCCCCTTGGGAGCAATGTGCTCAACCACATGTGAAAAATTTGGTCTATTTTTAAACTATCCTTTCTGGCATGTCTTAGTGTGAGCTCAGGTGAAGGGAGCCAGCTGATGCAAGTGACATCAAGTAACTTTTCCCTCTGTTTTGTCAACTTCTTCCTAAGCACTGTGTGTGTGTGCGTGTGTGTGTATGTGTGTAGGAGCAACACACACACACAGCATCCTGCCTTGTTTCTTGGCCTCGCCTCCTTTCTCCCTGAATCTCACTCTCTCTTCCCTTTTTCCATACTCTTCAGACTCATCCCTGCCATGCCCTCCCCTCTTCACTTCTCATATCCTCACTTCCCCCTCACTTTCCTCCCACTCACCTCCCCTGAAAATGAGTCATGGTAAACAGAAAGCTCTAGCTTTTCAGTACAAATAAATAGGACCAAAAAAATCATCAGGAAAAAACAGTATCTCTGCTTAATGCACGGTTTAAACCCTCCAAAAGCTTAATGAAAATTTGGCGTACATATGGCATGAGAAGCTTGCATTGTAAATCTGACATCAGCTCACAGATATAATGATTTTGGCTCTTTGCCTTTCTAAAAGGAGACAAAATGTTTGCAGTCATTATTGGCATTACTGTCTAACAAGAGAAAGGAAGGCTCTAATTATGACTAGACAAATCATGTGCAAGGTTCATTTCATTGCAATCCTGGGAAAACAATGTGTGGGGGAAAATTAATGAGGGCAAGTGGCAGATAAAGGAGAAATGTCTTTAATTTGCTGAGTGTCCTCAGCTGCTCTTGCAATCTGGCCACCTGCATTACAGGCTTCTTGGCCATGTGAATATCCCCAACCTCAAGGGCTGCCATAATCACTCCAAATAAATAAAAAAGAAGAAGAAGAAGCACCTAAGAAGTGCACTGAACAAAGTGAGGAACGCTGAAAACACTCTTAAGAAAGCTCATGGTATAAAGGAATCTGGAAGTGATCCTTTTGCTAGGGGAGTGGCTATGCACTCATTTCCTGGTATGTTTCAGATACCAGGTTTTCCTAAACTAGGCTTACACAGTCCACCTCCAAGGCCACATCCACGAAGGCAACTCAGAAGCCTTTGCAAAGTAGACTAGAGGAGCCTCAGTGTTCAGGGATGCATCTGGGATGCAGGAGCAGGAGCCATGTAGGCCCCAAGTCAGAAGAAGGGCTTAGTTTTGTCTTCATATCCTGGTTCTCATGATACTAGGAATGTCCCTGATTGATAAGGAAAAACTCAAGGACATAATCCCAATCATGGGCAGCCCTCCTCCTATGTCCTGCTTGTTGGATGGTGGTTAGGGTCTCCTTCCACAAGCCCCAGAGCAGACTGAAGCCCATTTCTCTGCCCTCCAGTTGCAGATCTGATTTCTCACCTCTCAGAAGCCCCAGACCCATGCATCATGGACCTATTTCCCATAGAGGAGTGTCGCTCCCCCTCTTCGTGGAGGAACGACACAGGACCCTGCGCTGTTCTTTTGTCTGCTCGGCCCTCCCCGGGTTTGCTGCTGGTTCTTCCCGGGTTGGCTACCGTCCCTTCCACCTCCGTGGAAGGGCGGTTCCCCCTAGCCACTTTCCCCACTTCCGCGGGGGAGCGGCATACTGCCGGCCAGCTCTTCTCGGGGGCTGCTCAGGTGTTCCTTCAGATAGATGTTCCCCTTAGATGTTCCTGGTGCATGTTGTCTCTCTCCTCCTTTATAGTCCTCTTCCACCAATCCCAACTCTGCTACCCACACACCGAGTACGCTGCTCTCCTCCAATCAGGAGCAGGTCCTGCTGTTTATTGGTTGAACTGGAGGCAGCTGTGTAGAAGCTGTTTCTCCCTTCTCAGCGCCATATTGTGGGAGAGCAGATGCATAGAATAAGTCTTAATTCCAGTAAGTTAGTCTAGTCCGAGTTGCTCCCCACAAGGAGGGCTGGGAATTCTGGAGGATTTGTGGGGAAAGAGTTATATTAAAGATTAAAGCAGGGACTGGCACTGTGGCAAAATAGGTTAAAGCCCCAGCCTGTAGCGCTGGCATCCCATATGGGCACTGGTTCTAGTCCCGGCTGCTCCTCTTCCGATCCAGCTCTCTGCTACGGCCTGGGAAAGCAATGGAGGATGGCCCTAGTCCTTGGGCCCCTGCACCCATGTAGGAGACCCAGAAGGAGGCTCCTAGCTCCTGACTGGATCGGCACGGCTCCGGATGTTGCGGACATCTGGGGAGTGAACCAGCATGTGGAAGACCTCTCTCTCTGTCTCTCTCTCTCTCTGTAACTCTCTCTTTAAAAAAATAAAAAGAAAGAAAGAAAGAAAGAAAGAAAGAAAGAAAGAAGGAAGGAAGGAAGGAAGGAAGGAAGGAAGGAAGGAAGGAAGGAAGGAAGGAAGGAAGGAAGAAAAAAAGATTAAAGCAATGGGCAATATCCTGACTTGAACCACAAGAAACAAAGAAAGAATAAGTGATATGAAGGAGATAGTTAATCCAATGACCTGCCTTGGCCAAACCCTAAACTCTCTTAAGCCAATGGGTGTCAAACTGTTATGGTTTGGGGTGGTTTGTCCACCAAAGGTTCATGAGTTGAAAGCTTAGTCCCCAGGGTGGTGGTAAAAGAGGTAATGATTAAGGGTACCAAAACACAGCAAAAGTTTCTGGTACTCCATAGCATAGTGAGTCAACTACAGTTTGCAAAAGCACTAAATATTATTTCTGTTTTTTTTTTTTTTTTGACAGGCAGAGTGGACAGTGTGAGAGAGAGAGACAGAGAGAAAGGTCTTCCTTTTCCATTGGTTCACCCCACAATGGCCCCTGCGGCCGGCGCACTGCACTGATGCGAAGCCAGGAGCCAGGTGCTTCTCCTGGTCTCCCATGCAGGTGCAGGGCCCAAGAACTTGGGCCATCTTCCACTGCACTCCCGGGCCACAGCAGAGAGCTGGCCTGGAAGAGAAGCAACCGGGATAGAATCCAGTGCTCCAACCGGGTCTAGAACCTGGGGTGCCGGCGCCACAGGCAGAGGATTAGCCTACTGAGCCGCGCCACCAGCCCTAAATATTATTTCACGTAAAGGAGAGAAGCCGTTAGGTTCAACACATGGAGGAAGGATGAGGAGGTCTGGATGATGATTGCTGATGTGATTAGTTTACACTGTGTGTGTGTGTGTGTGTGTGTGTGTGTTGTACTGTGCCCTCATAAAAGTGCATAGGTATTAAAGGTTAAATAAAAATTTAAAACATAAAAAGAGGCAACAAAACCTCTAAGGGGTGCATTTTAGCACAAGGCAATTAGGTCATTTAGGGTGCTGCCCTTGGAAGGGATTAAGGTAGTTCTCTGGGACCTCATGAGACCAGGTTGTCATAACACGGGCCCATCCCTGCTCTCTGATTTCCTGTCCTGCCATGGACTCCCTCTTGCATATACTCCCACTATGATATCATCCACCATGAGGCCCTCACCACAGGCCAAACAATGTGACCACCTAAGCTTGAATTTTTAGCCTCCAAAATTGTGAACTAAATAAACCTCTTTCCTAAATTTACACAGTACCCAGCCTTGAGTATTTAGCTATAGTAATAGAAAACAGACTAATACACAAATGTACAGTGCTGCTTCCGAAGGCCTCAGAGTGCCCAGCATTCTGGTGGTTCATACACTGTGGGTACAACCAGAACTTTCTGGAGTGATCATACATCTACTGCTTATTAATTTGTGGGTGAATTGGACCTCCAACTGCCTGCCTGATCCCTTCCAAGGCACTTTGATTTCCTTTACTAGAAACCCAAATGGCCAGTGTGAGTACCTGCTACCATGGGTTTGGTTCGGTGAAAGCATGGAGGCTTTGGTTCAAGGTCACCTGGGACCTCATACCTTCTTCCTAGTTCCTTACCCTAGTCTCACTTTGGCCAAAAGAAAGCTTTCAGGTTGCCATGGAGTTCATTCACCTGCCATCCCAGTTGCCTGTTGCCATGGATAATTAGCCATTGGCTGTTCATTTACATAACTTTCTATTTACCTTGGGACCCATAAGCTTATTTATTCTAACAAGCAGAGAGTGTACACCCATATAAATGGGAAGAGAAAATGCATGGCATTATTTTATTGAAGCAGACAGAATTTCTTATTAATAAACTCACATGTGACAGTGGTAGATTATAATCAATATTCGACTTGGTGTTTTAGAACTGTCTTCCATTTGGAAAATAATAAAATCTTATTAATTTGAAACTCTAATGACCAGAAAAACTTCACCAGCTTGACTCACTTTAGAGTATCTCATATTTTTTCTCAAGCAAGAGTGGGGCACGAGGCACCTGAGGAAAAGCAGTTGCTTCCAATCAAGCATGATTTTGAATAACCGATATTGATTTAATGAGGTTTTACTCCATATCAGCATTTCAGCCAGCACTATTATAACTGCACAACCTTCCAAGGTCAAGCCCAGAGGTTTGCCCCTTACCTGAGGTGGAAAATAATGAAATCCATTTTCCCCTGGGGACAAGAATACCTATAAATCACATTTTCCACACCTCACCTGGCTGCCTCAAATGGCCCCACTCTGTAACACGCCGATCTGTCACTCCTTCAGCTGCCTCCAGGACACTCCATCAGGCTCTGGGGAGAGAGGCAGTGGGAAGAAAATGACAACTTGGGCATCAGACTGACAGTCTGAGCACAGGCCACGGTGCGGTGAGGCTGGGAGTTTAGGGAAACACTCTCTGGGTATTTCAGGGCTGCTGTTTTCCCCCCAAGTAAAATGAGCAGGAACCATGAGAGGCAGTCAGCCTAAAAATGGGAGCAGCCTCGGAATACAAAGGTGATTGGCTCAATGGCTTCTCCACCCAGCTCTTTGTTTTCATGAAATCAGGACTGTGGGCTGCAAATCCAGCACTGTCTGGAATTGTCTTCCCCATATTGCAATTAATGCAAATATGTAACATCATAATACCCATGGGGGTCTTATCACATAGATAATAACTCAGCCACAGAACCCAGGACCATTATCAGAACTGAATTTACACAACTGCTTTTTGGAAGTACAGGGCATGAAAGGATGTTCCTGGGACTCAATAAGGTCCCTGCACCCTAAGACGAGAGGAGGGAGATTTGGGGCCACTTCAGAATCCCCTCCACAATGGATTCATAAGAACCGTGCTCCAAGGAAGAGAGATGGCAGAGTTAATGCTGTGTGATAGTCTAGGATAACAAGGTCACTTCAGGAAAGCTGTTCTTCGACAGTTGTGCAACATCTTGATGAACACTAGAGGGTGCAGCAGGGATAATGCTGGGAGCCGCCCTCTATCCATGGTGAGGGGACAGACAGTGAGCTGTCCAGGGACAGACACTAACAGCAGGGCTGGGTAACTGGGGCACGGCCCTGGGGCACAGGGACGGACATCTTGGGTGAAGGTGGGGAGAGGTGAGCAACCCCCTGCCAGGGAGTTACTAGGTTTGGAGGTCCACAGACTAAGGCTGGAAGTGGGGTCCAGCTATCTCAGGAGGCCCGTCCTAAGGTTCCTGGTGAAAGGATTGCTGTTATGGCTTCAAGAAAGCCTCTCTTCCTCACTTTGCCAGGTATATTGCTGAAGATTTACCCACATGTACAACTGTGTGTGCACTTTTGTGCCTGAACCTAAATGATCTATCATAGCTGGCATGGGTGGGTACCATTCCAAAGAAGACATTTTTGAAGCCATAACCCCAGGATGTCTGCAACTCCCTTCTACCAGCCTCAGGCTATTTCTTCCCTGTTGCCTCTTTGCCTGTCTCCACCAAAACCTCATTGCCATGCAGCGCATTCTCGTGCCTTAACCTTTTACTCATTAAGCACCTGCTATATGCTGGAGCTAGGAGTACAGTGGTGGGAGAAAGCAGCAGCAGTTCCTGACCTCAGGGAAACTGCCACCTAACTCTCTTTACCTCTTTCCACTCGGTGGGGATGGAGAGGGAGAAAATGGGAAATAAACTTTACAAACTATTTGGGGCCAGATTGTGAAAAGCATTAAATACCATGCCAAGGATTTTTTATTTTATCCCATGGTAATGGGAAGCAATGAAAGACTTTAAGCAGAATATTTAGATCCAGTTTCCATCTCCAAAATATCTGGAGGCTAAAAAATGTTCCACCTTATTAGTACAGTAGTGCAATTAAAATATTCAAATGGTATTTTTTACCTAGTGGATTGCCAAAGTCATTTTTAAAGACTACAATCCATTTTGGCAAGAATTCCCTAAAATTAACAACATTATCCTTTACAGACAGGAATGGAATTTGGCAAAATCCATGAGGCTAATTTGGCATGCGTAGTAAACACAAGGAAGTTGCATCACCTCTGACCCCAAAATGTAGCAGTCCTAGTGCGACATAATAGAAGCTGATATTAAGGTGGAGATGACAAGGTATCAAAGACAAAACTGAGAAGTTTATTCCAGAGACCAAAGCCATAGAAACCATCCAATAACCGACTGCATTGAGGATGACAAAGGGAGAAAGTCGACTATGACACAGGGTTACAGCCGGCACGACTAGAACCATGCAGAAGCTTTTCCACCACAGCAATTAGAGAAGAAAGACTGACAAACTGCAAGAGGGCAATGAAAAGTTAGCTGTTGGACATTTGGGGGCACAGAGTGTGTAAAAGGAAATAATCTGTAGAAGCCCAGATGAAAAGTGTAATTGGATATGAAGATCACTGGAGAGAAAATTTGGAAAGCATTTGTGCATATAAGGAGAGCATCAGGTAGAGAAACTGAAAATCACATTACAAAGACTTAAAGAACGAAAGACAGTAAAGAAGCTGAAACAGATCATAGAGTCTGGGGTTCCAGCTTAAAGAAGAGAATTGAAAAAATGATTTATTTATTTCCAAAGCTACTTCTCATTGAAAGTATCTTGGAAATATTTTATAAATAAATATTCATTTGAGAGACAGATGGACAGAGAGAGCGCCCATCTTCTAGTTTACTCCCCAAATGCCTACAACATCCAGGGCTGGGCCAGGCCACAGACAGGTGCTGAGAACTCAGTCCAGGTATCCTACATGAGTGGAAGGGACTCTAGTACTTGAATGACCTGAGAAGATTTTAAAGCTGAGTTGAGCACCAAGTAGAAAGTAAAAAAAGAAGAGGAAATTTTTAAGGAGATGTGGGTAGACTTGCCAGATTTAGCAAACTACAGACTTTTCAGTTGAATGTGAATTTCAGAAAAATGGTAAATCCTTTTTTAGCATTAGTATGCCCCATACAATATTTTGGGCATATTTATACTAAAAATGTTGCCCACTGTTTATATGACATTCCAGTTTAAGCAGGTGTCTTCTGTTTTATCAGGCAAGGAGTCTAGGTAGGGGGAAGATGAGGAGCCCAGGAGGAAAAGGCATGCCTGGAGAGGGGTGGGGTGTCTGCTCTCTGAGAAAGGAGAGGAGACAGCAGCAGTGATGAGGAAGACAGGAAGCCAGTTTAGGGAGCTGTGAAATCATGCCCTCTGCTCTATCAAAGACCGGGGTCAGCCTGTCTGCAGAAAGTGAGCATGTCCAACGTCAGCAGGAGGCTCTGATGTTGGATGTAAACTGTCTGGGGCATCCACCATGGAGAATGGGAGGGAGAGCACTGGAGAAGCACTAAGGGCACCTGGCTCTGGAAGTCTTGGTCCAGGGTGGACAGGGTGGAACCCAATGAGGCTCAAGAAGGGCAGGACCAGTTTGTGCAGATTCTTACACAGGACCTGTCAGCAAGTTTACATTTCATTGTCATCAGGCCATGGAAAGCTAAGCCAGTGACAGGGTCTGTGGCTTTGGTTTGGCTCTTTCTTTCTTTCTTTCTTTCTTTTTTTTTTTTTTTTTTTTTAGATTTATTTATTTGGAAGTCAGAGTTACACAGAGAGAGGAGAGGCAGAGAGAGGTCTTCCATCCGATGGCTCCCTCCCCATTTGGCCGCAACGGCCAGAGTCCTGCTGATCCAAAGCCAGAAGCCAGGAGCTTCTTCCGGATCTCCCACACAGGAGAAGGGGCCCAAGCCCTTGGGTCATATTCTACTGCTTTCCCAGGCCATAGCAGAGAGCTGGATCAGAAGTGGAGCAGCTGGAGGCCAGCGCCGTGGCTCAATAGGCTAATCCTCCACCTAGCAGCGACGGCACACCGGGTTCTAGTCCCGGTCGGGGCGCCGGATTCTGTCCCGGTTACCCCTCTTCCAGGCCAGCTCTCTGCTATGGCCCGGGAGTGCAGTGGAGGATGGCCCAAGTCCTTGGGCCCTGCACCCCATGGGAGACCAGGAGAAGCACCGGCTCCTGCCTTCGGATCAACGCGCCGGCCCATTGGAGGGTGAACCAACAGCAAAAGGAAGACCTTTCTCTCTGTCTCTCTCACTGTCCACTTTGCCTGTCAAAAAAAAAAAAGAGAGTGGAGCAGCCGGAACTAGAACCAGCACCCATATGGGATGCCAGCACTTCAGGCTAAGGACGTTAACCCGCTGCGCCACAGTGCCGGCCCCTTGGTTTTATTTTTTAAACATCCAAGGGGCCAGCATTGTGGCACAGCAGCTGGTTAAGCTGCGGCCTACAATACTGAATCTGATTTCAGAGCGCCAGTTCCAGTCCCAGCTGTTCTGCTTCCAATTCAGTCCCCAGCAAATGTGCCCAGGAAAGCAGAAGAAGACACTCACGTGCTTGGACCCCTGGACCCGCATGGGAGATCCAGATGAAGTTCCAGGCTCCTGGCTTCAGCCTGGCTCAGACCTAACCATTGCAGCTATTTGGGAAGCAAACCAATAGACAGACGCTCGCTTGCTTGCTCACTCTGTCTCACCCTCTCTCCATCACTCTGCCTTTCAAATAAAACAAATAAATCTTAGAGAAACATAAAATAAAAGATTAATTTAAAAAACTAAACATCAGGACCGGCGTTGTGTCATAAGTCGCCACCTAAAATGCCAGCATTCGATATGAGCACCAGTTCAAGGCCCTGCTGCTCCACTTCCCATCCAACTCCCAGCTAATGTACCTGGGAAAGCAGTGGAAGATGTCCCAAGTACCTGGGCCTCTGTGCACATGTGAGAGACACCTGGATGAAGATCCGGCTCCTGATTTCAGACTGGTTCAGCTCTGGACATTGTGGCCATTTGGGGAGTAAACCAGTAAATGGAAAATCTCTCTCAATCTCTCAATCTCTCTCTCTCTCTCTCTCTCTCTCTCTGCCTCTCCTCTCTCTGTGTAACTCTGCCTTTCAAATAAATAAATAAAAATCTTAATAAATAAATAAATTGTAAAATATTAAATACACTTGGATGCTGGGTGGGGAAAAATTAAAGGTAGGCAAGATACGATGTTGGGATAGCAGGTAAGAGAATAGGATAAGAGTTGGGATAGCCAACTTGACTCTCACTGGGATTAAACATGACAATAGGTCTGATCTGATTTCATCATGATTTAAAAAAAAAATCATCTATTATTTTTCACTTTATGTTTCTGTGTGGGAACAAACCGTTGAAATCCTTACTTAATGTATACTAAGCTGATCTTCTGTATATTAAGATAATTGAAAATGAATCTTGATGTGAATGGAAGGGGAGAGGGAGTGGGAAAGGGGAGGGTTGTGGGTGGGAGGGACGGTATGGGGGGA